CTGAGCTGATGAGAGAAGTGAACGATTTGTTAGCCATTAAGCATCTTAGATTGACGCCTTACCATCCCATGTGTAATGGTTTGGTGGAGCGATTCAATGGTACGTTGTAGCAAATGCTGCGGAAATTGAGTCAAGAAGAACCGAAGTCATGGGAGCGATTGTTGGCACCTCTGCTCTTTGCATACCGCGAAGTACGTCAGACCAGTATGGGCTTCTCGCCATTCGAGTTATTGTATGGCAGACATGTTTGAGGACCGCTAAGCATAATAAAAGAGTTATGGACGGGAGATCATATATCTGCAGAAGTATAGACCACGTATGCGTATGTCTTAGACCTCAGAGATCGTTTAGAAAAGACCATATCATTGGCACAAGAGAACTTGTCACATGCCAAAGTGACCCAGAAGTAGTATTATGACCGAAGAAGCAAAACCTGTCGACTGAACATAGGTGATCGAGCCCTCATACTGCTTCCAAGTCTGGAGAACAAGCTAATGATGCGGTGAAAGGGACCCTTTCTGGTCACAGGAAAGAAAGGAGACTTTGATTACTGGTTGGACATGGGCCAAAATACTAAGCTCTTCCATATCAATATGTTGAAGCGTTATGAAGAGCATCAACTTGAAAGCGCATCACAGTCGGCAAATTTTATTGTAGTGGAGGAGGAAGATACCGATACGCCAATACCTACCTTCAAGGCTACTGCGAGCTCTGGTATAGCGGCTAAGCTTGGCCGAAACCTCCAAGAAAGCCAGCGTAACGAACTTCGCGAGATCTTGGCAAGTCACGAAGACGTCTTTTCCGAAATACCGAGAAATCCTCAAGAAGGCGCTTACCCAAGTACCCTTCATACTACGCAGCGATACTTCCAATACATGCATAGGCGCAGTCCTTATGCAAGACCACGACTCGGTTTTACACCCAGTTTCATACGCTAGCCGACAGTTATTACCTCGAGAACAGAAGTACTCAGCTATAGAGCAGCAGTGTTTAGCTCTTGTGTGGACTATAGAAAAATTTCATATATATATATACGGAATCCCTCTTGTAGTTCAGACTGACTATCAACCCTTGCAATATTTGTCCAAGGCAAAACATGTCAACAGCAGAGTCTTGAGATGGAGTTTGGCCCTGCACGAATATGAATTCCATGTAGAGCACATCAAGGGGTCTGAAAATGTTGGGGCGGATTACACGAGCCGCATTCAGTGATTATACGCTGGTGCAATCATTTCAGCATGGTGAGATTACATCTCAATGCAGTAAACCACCGACGTAATGCTACTGGACAATTTTGGTTTTCAGCCCACTGTGTATGTGTGTGTTTCGAGCGACTTCATCTAAGAACTGAGCAGCGGTTTTTCGTGCAGAAAAACTTTCCCAAAAAGGGGCCTATTGTGGTATAGTATAGTGACGTTGTGGTGTCTGTGAAGTGTGATGGCACCGCGGTGTTATGTACAACGTGCTTGAAGGCGACGGCAGTGGTGCTTCTCGATTGAGCGGCGGAAAGACGATGACGCTGGCGCGAAACGTCACGCATAAAACTGCGGCCCGCCAAAAGGAAGAGAAAGTTTGTGCAAAAGGTTGCACTACCAGGCATGAAAGGGAAGAAGAGGAAGACTAATCGGGGACAGAACGAGATCGAGCAGGCTGGAGTGAAGATCCTGGGTGTCGGGCGACAGCGGTGTCGGGTTCTGGACCCAAACGTGAGGAGTCAGGCAAGGCCAGGGCGCTCCAGCTGCCCATGGTGTAGTCAGAGGTCGCGGCCTTTTAGTTCCGGCCACGACTGTTCAAGGTCCTGTCCCAGGTGTCCGGGCTTCGACTCCGGTCCCAAACCACCCATGGAGGGCGGTACCTTCTGGGTGGTGATCACCTCCTCGAAACGAGCCAGCATCCGTAAGCAGCTGCAGTTCTTGATAAGGTAAGGGCTACCTCGTCTTCCGCCAAGCGTCGCTGTGCTGGTCAGCGCGTGACTCCAGCTGCTGAGACGTCGCCAGCGTCCGCTGCCTCAACCCACCAAGCCACCGCCACTATCAACGTCACTTGTTGATGGACAACTTATTGCTGGACAACTTATTGCTGGACAACTTACAGGACATATTTTTGTTTGTCAGCGTAGACTAGGTGTCTGTACATAGCAACTTCATTTTTTTTTTCTCTTAACTATGCTTAAAGTTTCTACTTTTCTTACTTTAAACGGCTTCGTCATTTCTTAACTACGAGGCTTCCTCTCCGAGCAACAATTTACTCAACCGTAAACCTGCATCACAGTGTTGTTCTTTGGTTGTACAGACTGTGTCTACTGTGTCCTTCCATTCCAAGAACGCGGCGTGGCGCTCGCCATTTTGAGGCTGCACAAACTACTTGCTGAAAAAGTCCATAATGTTCTTTTGCATCTTTCTGCTTTCGCCGCTCTTTAAGAATGCCACCTGAAAGGCATAAACTCGTGCCGCGGTTTCTTCACTCACGTTGCCGGCACTTGCGGTGCGGTGCAAGATATCGAGGGCGTGGTGGTTTTCCGACATCGACGGCAAGTCACACACGTCGTCTTCACAGTCACTGTCGCACTCGGTCTCCTTAACCTAGTCAACCAATTCTCAGCTTCAAGCTCTTCGTTATTTTCTGTCGGAGCTGCATCTTGTACCGAAAAAAATCCACACTTGCGAAAACAGTTCGCAATCCTGTCTTGTATCAAATTATCCCACGACATCGCAAGAAAATGTAGCGCATCCAGCAGACTAATTTTCAAGTTTTCATCTTTGCGATCAGTTTTCGCCAGAAGCCTCCGCACAAGCAATCCTTTAAAATGATGTTTGACATTTTGAATTATTCCCGCGTCCAGCAGCTGTACACGGCTCATCGTGTTTGTGGGCAGGAACATTATAGCGACACTGTTAAATTTTAAGTCTTTTGGATGGGCTGAACACTGGTTGACGAAAAGCAAAATTTTTCTGTTTCTTGTTGCTACTTCCCGGTCCAAAGTTGTCAGAAACTTGCGGAAAAAAATCTGATGTCACCCATGCTTTTTTGTTTCCTTGGCTGTTTTGATTTGCCCACGACAGTGAGCTGTATTTTTTCGGAGCTGTCGGCATTTGCGCAAAAAAGCACGATGACACGCTCCTTACTTTTTTTTACCACCCAGGCAAGCCTTTCCCTTCACACACAGCATCCTCTTCGGCTGAAGGTTGAAAAAGAAAGAGTTCCGCCTCGTCAGCGTTTAATATGTCACACGGTGTGTAGTCCGAAATCGGAGCCGGTAGCGTGTTGAGCCAATCGTTCCCTTGCAACTTGTCCACTTTCTTCGCTTCACCACTGACAACTCTGTAAACTAATTCGTGCCGTTCTTTAAAACAGTGCAGCCATCCGCCGGAAGCTTGGAAGTTGTCGATGCCAAGAAAAAGTGCTAAATTGTCCGCCTTTTCGCGTAACACCTTGCCATTCACATTGACGCCGGCTGCGGTCACTTCGCGAAACCGCGGAAGCAGAAAGTTTTCCAGCTTTATGTGTGAAGCAGTCTTCGCCTGCTTCATGTTTGCAACTAAGCGCTGGGCATTTTTCAAGATTAGTTCTCATTGCCCAACAATAGTGGAGAGAGTTGACGGCACTATACCTGACTACTTTGCCAAGCCAGTGCACTTGTTCTTGGAATCTTCATTGACCTTCCTGAGAATTTCGATTTTCTCCTTGAAAGAAAGGGCCTTCCGCTTCTTAGCAAACACTTCAGCCTTCCAGTATGTGGCAAGCTTAAGCAGTCCGAAAACTCTCGAAAAAGATATGAGCACAGCAGTTAGAGCAGCAAAACTGGCGTTTACGAGAGCCCCTAACATCACGTGAAAATGGCGTGGATATCAAAAAAAAAAAAAAAAAAAAGAAAACAATGAGCTGTCTGGAAAGGGCTGATGTACCTTGTTGGGCATGTGACCAGAGCAGGAAACAAGAAAGGCTACGCAAGTCTGTCGCCCAAGGAGTAAGGAAAAGGAAAAAACCCATTCCTTGGTGCCTGTCGCCCTTCTTCCCCTCACAAACTTGTTTCCCTAGTTGCGCACGAGGGATTTTATTTTTCTCATAAGTGGTATGGGGGAGGAAGGTCGGTACAGCAACCGGAACAGGCGAGGACAGAATGCAACGCTTCTTCGCTATTTGCGTGACTGAGGCAGCACAAGAGGTGAAAAAAAGTGGGGTGTAAAAAAACCTCCGGCAGTTGCGGTAGGCCGGTGGCCCCTCAGCGTCGTGCCGCTCATATGAAATGGTCTTTTGTGCATTCGTATCATCTGCGGCGGCTGAGGACACTGTTCGTACATGCCCGAACGACGGCCTGTTCTTTATAACGTAGAGCATCCAAAGCAACCTTAAAATTCGTATCATTGCGAAATTTTCATCAACCGTAATCGTATCACTGAGATTCCACACTATAAGTGTTGTGCACTGTCGGTGTCAAATGAAACCGGAACAGCGGCAAGCCTTCATGATCATATAGTGCCCGCTGTCCACTTATCACCATGGACAGGCACGCATGTATGCACAGAGCTGCCAAAAAGGATGAATGCGCCACTCCATAATGATAAATAGACGGCGCGCACTATACCATTGTGAAGGCTTGCCGCTGTTCGGGTTTCATATGATCACGATAATACATTTAAAGGCTCATGAGGCCACTCCAAATTTTTGTTTAAGTAAGAAAAGAGGGAACCTTAGGGCAGAAATTACAAAAACCTGGGTAGCACTGAATGCTCTCCTTCTCCAAGGAGCAGGAAAGAGGTAGAACATGTCAGCTTTAAGGCATTATTCCCTAGAAATAACTGCCTGCCCCTCTATTGCACCTTCTATTGTAGTGTAGTTTCGAATTCTGTTCACTTTGTATACCAACTACTCTTTGCAACACTTTACATGAATGTTTAAATGAAAAAAGGGATCTCTTTTGACATCATGAACACACGGAATATTCAACTTAATACTAGAGCCATTGAGGTTTACTCAAGCTAGTGCATTAAATGTGTTACCTGAGGAAGACGCATGCTGCCTCCAGGCATTGATGCGACCCCTTGGAGAAACACGTTTGTAGTTGCAAAGCCACCTCCTGAAAAGTAGGCAGAACATTGTACCAATAAGAGACATTTACTTTCATCGTTGCCTTCCCTCAACAAATGAAAGTGAACTACTGTAGCTTTGTGTAAGGGCTGTACCTCTGCTACCACGTTTTGCTAAAATTATCACAATTATCAAAACAGTGCAGATGAAGGCAAGAGTGATTGACATGATGCAATAGTTTTTTGTGCAGCAAAGACCAAATTCGTCTAAAAAGCACCACATCAAAATATATCCTGGCTGTGAAGAGACTTGCGAGCGTTTTCTGTATAAAAACAAGAAGCAGATACAGTCAAACCCACGCTCAATGAACTTCACGTCTACAAGCATCTTCCGCAGGCAGAAGACACGTGGCTTACTTTAAATATGCTCAACAGTTGAAGGCCATCCATTAGTAATTCACCAAAAGCACACATGGACATGCTACTTGTTCTTCCCCGCTCCCTCCAAGGGAGCTGTTTCCCGAGTGTTCTGTCACAGAACGGGGCCGAGGAATGAATAGAACATCAAAAGAAGATGACAAGGAGTCACACGGGATCGGTCGAAGCTCATCTGACAGTCAACAACTGGAAATGATAGTGCTGTTGATGATCTTGCCAACGGCCAGAAGCCGTATTCTGTTGATAAAACAGATGTAAGACTGTCTCCAGACAAATATTAGAAACCTGAGCACTGACGCCAGGGAATTGAATTAGCCTGCTTTGTGTTTGACTTACCCGAATCGCATGCTAATAGTTAATAAAATTGCAACCAGCCTCCCACCACAAACAGAGTCATCTAATTGTGACGTCACTACGCGTTCACTCAGGATTAAAACAAAACAAATCAGCATCACGCTCTTCAATTTCAAGCTTTGAAAAACAATGACTGCCAATATTGAAGTATCGCAATAATAAATACATATTTATTTACATGCCGTAAACATTTTTATTATTTTGTCAACTTGCCGATCGGCTGTTTGCTCCCTCTTCTCCTCTGATATTTTATTTAACTGCCTCCATTCTGGGACAGGACCGTACAAAAATAGCAGCCCAAATGTCTTGAAAAAAGAAATAAGGTGTCATGTTCAGGGTGCTAAATGTGTTCTCCATCCTTTCAGAATGGGGAAACTTTTACCGCAAAAGAGTGGCTACTTGGGCTGGTTGGTATTGCATTTTTGAAAGAAATTTGCTTTCTTAGTGCACAAGGAACGTTTTCATAAGGAAGATAGAGCCGAGAGATAGGACAGTCCTATCTCTCTGCTCTATCTTCCTTCTGAAAACGATTCCTGCGCACTAAGTATATTTCAAAAATAAAAATTCAGAGTTAATGAAAAGCGACAATACAAGAAGAACATGCATGTGGCCCATGACAGCAAAAATATGAAATAACTTTGAATTACCCACAAAAATATTCATACTAAAACAATGTATGAACAGATAAAACTAAATAACCAAAGAGTGGTGAAAGTGGAGTGTTTTGAAGCAGCTCAGGAAACAGAAATAATGCTAATATGGAGCAGTTTTGGCAGAGAGTCTTGGAGCAGGTTTGGTGCACTAAAAGGTGTGTTTTGGGAGTGCCACAAGTTAGTTTTGGAGCAGGTTTTTAGGGCTGAACATCAAAATCAATGAAAATTATTTCTCGTGAGAAGTATGGTCGTCACTAACTGATTCGGTGCATGAGACTTTGAACATGCTACTGTTCTCTCAGTTGTATTAATGTTTCTTAGCGACAATGACTTTCCACGATATTAAACACGATTATACTGCCTTCTCAAACAAATGTTCAACAGTGTCATACATCACTGACGGGATTAAGACTGCGGACAAACCACAACTCTAAAATTTAGATTATAAAATAATTTCTTTATAAAATGCACACCCATCCTTAATTAAAGTAGCCAATGAAACCACATGCATTTCTCGTTTTAAATAAGAAGGAAAACTACTTCTCATGCCTCCTAAAAATGTATAACTTTTTAATGATGTATCATAAAATGCCAATTTTTTCCTTTTGCTCTGTATTGTATGTGCTTCATATACAAAGACATTTACTTTATTCAGGGTGTCTACCAATTTGCTTTTTCGAATTTCCCCGACTTTTTTTTCCAGGTTCTCCATGATGATTTAAAGCGAGTTCCATGACCCTTGTGTCTGCTTGGGAAAACTCTGTGCACTGTAAATAGACTCTAAGTAGTGACAAAATCCAGTCAGTTCTAAAGAATACGCATATAAATGTACCTCATGTGCTCAGAATATCCTGATTACTGATGCGTGTGGTAAGTATGAAAAAAAATGTGTCTGGCCAAAATGATACCTCCGAGCTAGAGAGTCAGCAAGTTGGCTGTTTGGCAGAATGTAAACACACGAGTTAAATTAACTGCAGCTGAAAGTTCAAAGGAGCCCACGACAGTCCAACAACACAGCCAAAGCTACTAGGAAATGTAGAAGTGGCACCATCTCGTGGCATCTGTGTAAACGGAGGACCCATGAGCGCGGCCGGTTCTGCCACTGGAGTATATTCTAGTTCATTATAATGGTTACAGCCCAGGCCACTTAGGATATGGACTGTATTGGATTAGATCGACCTGCATTTACTGATTTAACTGGATGTGGATTGAATTGGATCTGATGCAAAATGGCTTGTTTTATATACTACTGATTTGCATCCCTACCTAAATTTCACACCTCTAGTATATGCTTTCCAGGAAAAAAAAAAACACTACTACTCGCACATTTTGCACTCCTCGCATTGAACAATGACTAACAATGTTGCAAGAACGGAGCCCTACTCCATAATTTTCTTTCATTCTTTTCTTTTCCACGACGAACAAATGCATCTTGATGTTTTATTTCTCTGGGCTATGACGCTTAGAGTTCGACTATGTCCTCAGATGCTACCGCTAGCTTTCATTGCAGACATTTAAAGCAATGACATTTGAACATGTGCTGGCAAGCAGGAATCTGTCAGGGCGCAACAGCTCCCTCGATTCCACAGTTTTATCACAGATGTCGGTGGGTTTCCTTCGTTTGTGTACTTTCCTATGGATATAAAGCTAAAGAGTAATCATATATTTAGTAATACCATCTCAAGAAACTGAAATGAGAAATTTAGATGAAGTTACCCAACTCGATCTTAGAAAATATGGTTGATTGGGCGAGTTGGTAATGCATGATTGCTTGAAATACGAGCACACTACGTAGACACGGACAGGATAGACAGGGACAAGCGCTTACTGTAACGTTTTGTCGATTAACGTTGTTGACATGATCATACTTTCGTGCGGTGCCTGTTATATTGGGCAAACTGGAAGATGCCTTAACGACAGATTGTGTGAACATGCGTGCAATGTTCACAGCGGCAACGATGGTTTTTTGGCCCTACTTGTCACTTGATGTGGCTGTAAAGTTCAGTTTGACAACACAGTCGTACTTAACAAACACAAAGATGAGAGCACAAGGATTACATTTGAAGTTGCATATATAGCGCGTGAACACTTGACTTGCATGAGCAAACCATCAATAGCTCTGTCTGACAAGGAGCTAGCATTTTTGGACAGTCGCAGATGCCATAGGCGTTAAGCAATCGCTTTAAGGCACAGTGGGCGTTGGTAAAGTGGGGCTGACATACATAAATATTTTATTGGTTTTGTTATTTTGGCTCACAATTCGGTCTTATCATATGTGCCACGACACGCTTTCATCTGTCTGCATATACAGACAACTGCCGATTTTTTCGACCCTCTAGAGAGCGAAAAACGTCCGAAAATTTGGGCAGTGCGAAAAAATGAATGCAAGCAAAAAAAAAAACTCATTATTTTACTGATAATTTCAATGCAAGCAAAAAAAAAAAACTCACCATTTTGCTAATGTTTCTGAATGCAAGCAAGAAACGCACCATTTGATTGATAGTTCTGGGATCAAGAGGGTCAAGGTCAAAGTACCAGACTTCCAGAACTCTGCCAAAGCATCAGTGGGGTGGCTCTGAAAAGAGCCGTTAAAAAATAATGCATGCAGCCGACAGCGGGTGCTCTCAGGGTATTCATCTTTTGGGCACCAGACGGTTTTTCGGTCACTTCCAAGATGTTGTTTTTGTTCCTCAGGAAATCGGAAAATGTTTGCTTGGAAACGCCGAACTCCTTGCTCACGTCAGCCTGCGATCGGCCACTCTTCACTAACTTAATAATGGCGGCTTTCTTCTCCATCGTTAACAGACGGTACTGTTTTCCGCGCTTCGATGCCATTGGCGAGGACTACGAAGACGGAGTGGGGGCCGTCACAGGCAAGTGAAATCCTCACGATGTGAACAAAGGAGTTTGCTGACGAGTGTCGAAGCACGTAGGCTTAGTGTTGCAGAGCACACTTCACACGATCGCACAACCACGCACTAGGCTAGCCTAACACCACGTGGGATGCGTAAACAAAACGGCGCGGTGACAGGCGACGGTGCCTCGGGTACTCCAGAAGTGGCGCTGGTAAACATTCAAGATAGCCAGCGTGGCCAGACCAAATCGGTGAGTGGTGAGGGTGGATAGTTTCGATTGTCAGCGAAGCACCCTTGCACGATAAACACGACTAGTGTTAGGAATCTCAGAGGCCATGTGTATTTCTCCGTTAACGATCAACGAGTCCAAGCAACAGATGCCGCCACACTAGACCGGCGCGCTCATTTATGTGACCGTAATCGCGTGTGACGCAGTTGTGGTGGTTTCCACTGGAGGTCAGTGGTGGTTTCCGACCTTCCGTCGCGTCAAAAAGTCCGGAAAATTGGACTCCGGGGAGTTCGAGCGTCCAAAATTTGAGACTTCCTTATTCATTGATTCTATGAGGCTTGTGGCAGTGCCGCAAAGATGTCCGAATTATCTGGCATGTCTGAAAATTCGGGTGTCCAAAAAATTGGCAGTTGACTGTATTTCACAGCTTTCTGAATAAAGTTTCAGTTGGTAGTAAGCGCTTGTCCCTGTCTATCCTGTTTGCGTCTACGTAGTGCGCTCTTATTTCAAACAATCATCGA